AGCGCGTGGCGCCATCATGGGGCCAGCCCAAGAGCACGCGACAGTTCACCAACACGCACGACGGACTCCAAGCCCACCCGGCGCGTGTCGCTATGTGTCTGCATGCGGAAGGATGGCGTTAGGCCGAATGACAACGATAAACATCTGGGACTATAGCTGGCTATGGGAGGGCTTACCCTCCGGGCCAGAGACGGCGCACGAGCACCAGGTGCAAAAGATGAGGTGTCGGCCTTAGGCCCGTCCAGTCCGACCTCGATTGGCGCCGCCTCGTCCTGCACTACACACAACACCGTCGGTGTCTCTTAAACCGTGAAAAAAAACTAGCGCGTGCACTATGCCAGTGGCGGCTGCGTACCGCGTATCCAATATGGCTGGTGTATGCCCACAGCCGGTCTCTGTAGTTGTAGTGGGACGGCTGTGGAAGGCAGAGGCCGGTTAGGGATGTCGCGTAAGGATTTATTATGCGGAAGTCGGCGATGCGCCTCATGAAGTCAGTCATTTGGCGCCAAGCCCACACTGTTGGGCGTGCGTCCAGATGCGTGGCCAGGATAAGCATACGGAACCCGTAAGGAACGGGCTGCGCCGGGTCCAGGTTAAACAGCCGATGCGCCTTGGCAGTTACTCGCGCGCGATGCTGGAGAGGGCTGCATCCATCTCTGCCCAGGCAGATGTTCATGCCGGATAATATGGAAAACGGGCCTAGCTCGCAGCCGTTGTCGTGCGCGATGCAGCCATTAACTTGCATGAGGGCGTATGCCTCTGTTGGCATCTGGCACAAAAATTGGCATCTCGTAATATAGCGTCGCGACTGGCATTTGCGCATATGAGCGATTTGGTGGATAATTAAGCCAGGCATTGTGCAGTGCGCACGACATCTACCAAACGCCCAGAAAAACTATAGTATTCTGGCAGTGAGCACGGGGTTTTGAGCAAAGCGCTTGTGCCTTGCTTTGGTAAATGCCACCGCCACTCTGGGTCAGCGATGGGCGTACCGATTTGCGCGGACGCCATATATAGATGAGAATTGAGGCCACGCGGGCTGAACCAATGTGGATTCGCCATGCGTCATATGAGATAGGGTGTGTGAGGCGACGTGGGGGTAGGTGTGTAATGGCGGGACACAATCGAATATGTCTGTAGGAGCATGTTTGTTATGTGGGCTAAGAGGCGGCGCATCGTTCTGCTTGGCGCGACTGTCCAAATGTCTCTTCCTCGCAGGCAAATACTTGTGAAGTGATGTCCATCCACCATTGACATAAGAAATAAGGATAACAAAAAACAAACATCACACAAGCGACCTGCATGCCGAAACAATTACACTGAGCACACAGAAAGCAACTACAAACCAAACACAGCCATTAGACATAATAGCATTGCCTCAATGGTCTATCACAATCTGGCCAGCCATGAGGGTTGTTTCTAACCTCTCCGGTCATTTCGGGATTGATAAAACTCAGAAGTTACTTCACCGTTTTTATTATTGGTCTGATTCGGCGACTGATGTGCAGAGATACGTTTCAGCGTGCCCGACCTGCCAACGCATGAAATCTTCTCGACAACGGCCAGCTGGACTGCTGCAACCGCTCGAGCCACCCCAGCGATCGTGGCAACACGTGACGATGGACTTCCTCACGGGGCTTCCAGCCAATCCGAACGGCAACGATGCCGTCCTCGTCGTCGTCGACCGACTGACAAAGATGGCGCACTTCGCACCCTATCGCACAACCATCACAGTCGAAGATACCGCAAAGCTTTTCATCTCCACCGTTGTTCACCCGTACGGTCTGCCATCAGCGATCATCAGCGACCGCGACCCAAAATTCACGTCCAAGTTCTGGCAAGAGACATGGGCACAGTACGGTACCCGCCTCCAATTTTCATCCGCCTACCATCACCAAACTGACGGCCAAACTGAGCGCACCAATCAAACCATGGAGCAGCTGATACGCACCAACTGCCCAGATCCTGCCCGGTGGGAAGAATCCCCGCCCATGCTAAAATTTTCCTACAACAATGCCCCATCTGCTATGACTAATCACTCGCCATTCTTCCTCAACTACGGGATGGATCCAACGGTGCCGATGACAAGCAACATCGACAACCCCGTGCCCCGTTCCCAGCAGTTTGTGACAGATTTACAAACCGCACGGGAAAAAGCGATCGAATTTATTCGCAAATCCAACACAACAGCCCGACGCTATACAGACCTTCATCGCCGCGATATCACGATGGCAACTGGGCAACTAGTTCTTATCGACACGAAGAATCTTCGCCTGCCCTTGCCTTCCAAACTATGACCAAGATTCTGTGGGCCTTTCCGCATTCTCAAAATGGTGACACCTGTCACGGCGAAATTATTACTCTCGGACGAGTGGCGCATTCACGACGCCTTCCACGTCAGCCTCCTTCGTCCCTATGTCGCTAGCACGTCCGTCGTCGCACGCCCAGCGGCCGCCCCCAGTGTCCGCCCGATGGCCGAACCGACCCTTGAGCCTTTCCGGCCTTTGAGCCATCGCGTCCGCCTCGATACAACAGGACGACACGTGGATTTTCTTGTCCGCTGGGACGACCGTACAAGTGAAGACGACACGTGGGTCACTTCCGACTCGCTTCAGGAACACTCGGTGCTCAAATCTTATTTGACCCGCAAAGGCGTTCCCGATATTGATCACCTTCCTTAAGAGGGGGGGGTAGTGTAGGGAATTTTATGTTAAATTATATATGTTAGTATATAATTGTAGGCTTGGTAGTTGTTACTGAACTTTACTGTAGAGGGTACAACTCCCTCCTTGTACGCCTCTCTTCCTAGTCTACCCCTCTTTTCTCTCGACACTTTTCCCTCCCCTAGCTAAACCTCTGGCCGCCATTTCATGGCGGCCTTCCTTCCTAGCTCTCCTAGTTTTGACATGGTAACAGAGCAGGCCGCCAGTCCCGGGCCTGCTCACTACGCTTCCACTGCGTAACCGTCCTTCCTTCGCCGCCGTTGCGGCTTTCCGCCTGCCTGCCGCCGTGGCATCTTTGTCATGATGCCGCGGCCGCCTTTTGGTGCTGTCGTCTCAGCTGCGACGAGCAGCCGCGGCTCCGACGCCACGCGGTGGCAGCGTCGTAATGGTGTCGCGGCGGCGTCGTCGGGCTGAAGCCGCCGCGTAACTCTTGCGCAGCTGCTGGACTTGCAGCCCGCCCGCACGCCAGTAAGCGCCGCGCCAGCAATGGCGCCGCGTTGAAGATCTGAAGCTCCGCCCCCTCCTCCTTCCCTTCGTCCCCTCCTCTTCGCCACAGCCGCCACCTCGCTTCCGAAAGGGCGAGGACCGCTGCCGTCGCCGCAGTCGTTAGTCGAAGCCGTCGCCATCGCCGCCGTTGCCGCAGAACCGTTTGCCGCCGCATGTCGCCGCCGCCGCTGCTGTCGCCGCTGCCGTGGCTGCCGCCGTTGCCACCTCCTGGCCATTGAAAATGGACCTGGAATGGAGTTGCTCGGTTAGGGGGTGTGGGGGTGTGTGGGTCCTACTATCAAGCCTAGGGGGTGTGTTAAATTATATATGTTAGTATATAATTGTAGGCTTGGTAGTTGTTACTGAACTTTACTGTAGAGGGTACAACTCCCTCCTTGTATGCCTCTCTCTTCCTAGTCTACCCCTCTTTCCTTCCTAGCTCTCCTAGTTTTGGCATTTTATTCCTTACCGGGTTGTACTGCAATAGCGTACACCCGAACTCTCGGAAGACCAGGCTCGGTCTGTTTCCGACGCGACTCCGAGGCAAGCCCGCGCCGCCTCCGACCCTTTCGACCGCGCCTGTACCCAACCAAGCCCTCCGGGCTCGTCGCCTAGTTAGAGCCCTCGCTATATAATGCTAGGTTAGCATTCTTGTACTCGTCATTATTATTCCGCACACTCAGTTATTATTCATAACGAGTGACCTCGCTGCACTTCCTAGCTCTCGTTACTTCCTCTCTGTGAGTTTGGATTACTGTGGTGTAATTCATGATCTGGCATTGCTGGTCCGCGTAGCCCGCGATCTCTGGGGACAGATGGACAGTTCTGGGCAGCAATTACTGGGTGGGAGGCTCGAGTGCAGTGTGACCAACGGTGGATGCCATTTCAACAACAGCTATATGGCTGGGATGGGACGGCAGGGGGCTTGAGGCAACGAGCCAGGCCCAAGCGCTCGTTTTGTCGAAGAGGAGCAAGAACATGGTCGAGGCTCGGCGGGTGTCCGTTCCGTCTGCCAGAACTAGCGGGGCAGTGGCACATGAAAATTTCAGTCCTGTTTACTTAGACTTGGTTCTATAAGGGCGGGGTGCTTTGGGTTCGGAAAAGGCACAAAGTTCGAATATTTAGAAAGGTTTTACACGGTTTTGTGTGTTTCGGTGACTTTTCATACGATGCAGCACGGTTAGCCTATGTACTGCATTTTCTGCTCAAAGCACCGCGCCCTAAACAAAGTTCAGTCTTTGAATCATCACTAGTTACTTAGACTTGGCTCTATAAGGGCGCGGTGCTTTGGGTTCGGAAAAGCACAAAGTTCGAAAATCTAGAAAGGTTTTACAAGGTGATGTGTGTTGCGGTGACTTCTCATACGATGTAGCACGGTTAGCCTTCGTACTTATGCATTGTCTGCGCAAAGCACCGCGCCCTAAACAAAGTTCAGAGCCCGTGAATCGTCACTAGTTCTCAATGAATTATGGGTGCTTTACGAATGATTTGATTGTTCTGATGCTTGACCACTCTGCTTCGGGCAGCACGCTTGGCATCCACCAATGGCCAGGCGCCCCACATCACGTTACGAGCCACACTGCGATGCCTTGCCTCATTGCGTACCGAGCCTCCGAACCTAGCTGACAGCCGTTGGTTTCGACGCGTTGTCCAGTGCGTTGGGCGTGACGCGAAAGTGACCGCCAACGCAGCTCCGACAGACGCTCTGCTCGATCTCCCCTCCGCCATCCCACCCAAGCCAAACCCTCTTTACTCTTTGAGACCCTCCACGATTCATTGAGGATCTTTCGCTTTCTTTAGAATTGGTTGTCTCAAATCAGAACAGGATCTAGAACCTCTACCCTTTCCCAGAATAACGCGTTCAGTTGTGTAAAGTAACCTCGCAGTTTTCATCTGTGCCGGTACCATGGTACGCCTTGTTGATCGTCTTTCCCGCGCGGGTTTCTGCGAACAGATGATAGATGCGTTTGTGTTTTCATTAGCTGCTTACGAAACCTCCGCTGACACCGTGTCGGGGATTCTTCAGTCGACTGATGGGCTTCCAGGAGGCGCGTTGGACCTGCTCCATCTTGACAGCTTCCCGGGAGGCCGCCATCCCCACGAGCCTGTCATGGTGGGCCGCAGCACGCACGGACACGTCGTAATCGCGTGTCGCGGGACCGCCGACGTATGGGACGTCGTACAGGACCTCAAGTATTTCCCGCGGAGCGTTCAGGGGGTGGAGTCCGAGGGCACCGCGCACACGGGTTTTGTCGAGCGCGCGGAGAGGGTGCCCCTGCAGCCGTTTCTCGACCTGCTCGCCGCTGGCCACTGTCTCGTCTTCACTGGCCATTCGCTCGGCGGAGCTGTCGCGTCTCTCCTGGCCCTCCGCTTCGTGGAAGCAGCCGAGCGGCAGGGCCTCTGCGCGCATGGCGGCCGGGTCCAGTGCATCACCTTTGGCTCTCCGCTTTTCGCCAGTCCAGACCTTGCTGACGTCATTAACGATAAATACCGCGACATTTATTGCCACGTGGTATCGAAGCATGATCTCATTCCTCGCCTGCTGCCGTTGGTGTCGCTGGTGCAGCGCCTGAAAGGGCGGGGAGCAGGAGCGGAGGCGGTGGAGGCGTTCCGTCTGGTGCGCATGGCTCTGGGCGTGGTGCAGCACGCCACTCGCCTGCCCGTCGCCACCATGCTGCACGCCGTGGAGACTCTCATCCCGCCGCCCGTCCGCCTGCTGCTGGCGGGCGCTGTTCAGCTGCTGTGGCCGTCGCGCACCCCCGACCAGTACGCCTTCGCGGGGAACTTCCTCTTTCTCGACCCCGCCGCCCCTTGCGGCGACACGGCCGTGCATCTGGTGCAAGCGGAGTGTCTGAGCGAGTGGCCGCGGCAGATGGGGTTCGCGCTGTCGCTCAACTTCAATTTCTTCACGCGCCATCTCATGGCGTCGTACAAGCAGGGCGTCGCCAAGGGCATTCGCTCCACCCTTCTCTCGCGCCTCGCCGTCGGTGGCATAGCCGCAGCAGCCGCAGCCAGATCGGTTTTGTCGGAGCGGAAGCGGGGAGGAGCGCGTGTAGCCGAGCTGCCGTGGGCGACGGGCGACGAGTGGAGGCGGAGAGAGTGCGAGTGCGTGTGCTGCAGAGCGGCGCCGTACCCCCCTGAGACCCAAGCGGCCAGTGCCGGATGTCGCGCAGCTCGCGAAAACGACGCCATGCTGTTCGTACCATCGATGGCATTCCGCCCTACCTCGGGGCACCTTGTACGGTTCGCGGACAGCGGATGTGCGCACTGCGATAGAGAAGACACAGGCGCGCAATCCCCCCCGTGCGCGGTGAGCAGTTGTGCGAGGCCGGGCGCAGTGTTGTGCCCGTGGTGCTCGTGTGGGAGCACTGCCGTGGATGGCACGCTGCCGTCGTCAGGCGCGGGCAAGCACAGCGGCGCCATGGTCTCGGCGGCGCAGCAAAGAGGGCAGGTAGTGCGGGCAGTGCGGGCAGCGGGCGGCAAGGTGAAGGGCGGCAGGCATGGGTGGAGCATGGGCGTGGTGATGTCGGCTGTGGTGCGCTTCTCAGAGCGGGTGCAGTCCATGTCCACGTGGTCGTTCCTCTGGACCACCGTCAAGCTGCTCTTCGGCGCCTCACTCTTCTGACCGCATGGCGCCATAGGTCACTAACGTAGGAGGCAGAATGCCAGAGAAATGGCCAAGCATCATGCAAACCCATAGGGGCAATGCGCCAGTTACATCATGCTGCTTGTAGGAAACCTCCGACTGATTGCCCATAAGTTAATCTGGCTCTCGTTACTGTAAACCATGAAGACCATGTTCCATGCATGAAACGGCACGGTGCTCCTGTCCCTGCTGGCCATGCTCCACTACCTCGCCTCGCCGCTGCTGGACTGGTGATTCCTCACGCCCTCTCCGTTTCACTCCTTCAAACCGCGTCTCCCCCTCACGCGGTTTCCCCCTCTTCACGCCGTTTCCCCCTCTCTCGCCGTTTCACCCCCACATTGCTTCAGTCCTCCGTATAATAAAGTGTAGCTAGAAAAACATTATTCCGCACTATGGTGCTTGTTATTCCCGTCCCAGCCATTGCTCTCATAAGTTTTCACTGGGAATTATCATGTGCTCGTGCAGTGTGTGACAGTGTCGCATGTGGCGCATGTGACGGTGGGGCATGTGACAATGGGACCATGTGAATTGTTCGCCTTCTGCTTCCTGCTATGCCGTCACGCGTTTTTGTCTCCTTTGCACTTCCCCCTTCAGGGTGACCCTGTACCACGAGGCCAAGCTGCCGCTCATCGTCTCCCTCCCTCCCTCCCTCCGCGCGTGTCATCGTCTCACTCTCCTTTGTCTGCCCGCCCTCCTTGCCTCGGCCCGCCCCCTTTCAGGGCACAGTGCTCGTGAACGGTGCTATGCTGCACCCGTTGCTGGCCCGCCACGAGCCAAACATCGACCGCCACCTGGCACACCTGGAGGAGCGGGGGAGGGACGTGGCTGTGCAGTGCTGGCGTGGCATACTCTGGTGCTCGACTCGAGGAGCTGATTGCTTACATGGCGTCCTGAGAGGGATGGAGGGGAGTGGGAGGGGGGAAGGAGAGGAGGGGCGGGAGAGAAGTTGAGGTGAGGGGAAGTGAGAGGGGGGATGGGGCGCGGGGGAGGGAGGACGAGGAGCAGGAGGGGCTGAGAGGGAGGAGGAAGTATGTGCAGCAGTACGAAAGGGAGGGGGTGCAGTTGAGGTGTGCAGCGGGTGACGGGGTGATGGACAGGGCGGGTTATGAGGCGTGGCTGCAGCGGGAAGAGACGGAGCGCGTGGGTGAGGGGAGAGGGGAGATGCAGCAGGGGGGCATGCAGAGGCAGGGAGTGCAGAGGCAGGGAGTGCAGAGGCAGGGAGTGCAGAGGCAGGGAGTGCAGAGGCAGGGAGTGCAGAGGCAGGGTGTGCGGTGCAGGAACGTGGATTTCGGACTGTGAGGTAGGGCGTCACAGGACGAGCAGCAGGTCTTTCTGCCTCTGCTGCCCCCGCTGGTAGTGCTGGCAGAATCTATCGCGCAGCTGCTGGCAGGGCTGGTAACAGTGCTGGTGGCGGCGGGTGGGGCGGAAGGCACCTGGCAGCAGGCCTTGCTGGTCTGGGCCGCTTGTTAAGCCCCTCCGGCAAACGGCAGCAGCACCGCAACCCACCATGCTGCACGGCACGCTGCCACCAGCAGCAGTGCTGCCAGCTGGAGCTGCGGGTGAAGATGGAGTTGGCTGCACTGCTGACTTGACGGTGGCGGGTTTGATGATGTGGTACCGGACCAGGTGGCTGACGTGGCAACAGCAATGGTGGTATGGGAGACATCGCCTCATCCCAGTGGCATCGACCTGCATCCGCGGCAGTCCAGCGGCAGAAGCAGCAGTTCTGGGGCGGCTGATAGAAGCAGTTCTAGGGCGGCTGATAGAAGCAGGTTGGCTCTTGGCGCTCCTGTGGCTGCCATTGGGGGGGGGGGGGGGGAGGAAGCATGTGGGACTGGCCTGGTGGGCACTGCATTATCTAGCAGTGGCAGCTCTTGAGACGGCTTCAAAATGATTATTGCAGCCACGATGGCGAGTGTGATGGATGGCAGGGCTGGCTGTGAGGCCAGGGGAAATGGACTGAACGTTGTGGTCATGTGGGAGTGAAGGGAAATAAAAGGGATGGGTGGTTATTTGGCAACAAGGACTGCACGCACATGCTGGGTTGAAGAGAGTGTTTCATACTGAGTGCTTCGGTCAGTCCTGCCAGAGCTGCCGCTTTGTTCCATACCGCCTCTTAGTGCCACCTGAAGTGCGAGAGGCTCAGCAACTGGGGACAATTCTATCTGGCCGATAACCAGCCCCTATTCCAGCAGCCTCTTGCTGTTGCTGGCCAGCTCAGGGTTTAGGGTAGTGTAGTGTGCCCCCCTGTTGGCACTGTAGATTCAATCATAGTCATGTGCGCTATTATCTGTGGCTGTGTTCCATGTAGCTTTCGATAGAAGTGTATGCCAACAAACATATATTCTGT